TGTCCGGTACTAACCTGTGAAGTTGGCGCCTTGATGTAGGTACCTCGAAGATGGAGCTGGACTCGGAGCTATGGCGCCACAGGTAAGTCTCGCTAGCCTCCGCCAGCCATCTCTCTCCAACACTACTACCACTACYACTACTTAGCGCCCTGCGCTGAAAACTACTCCTGCAGCTAGTAGCGCCCAGCGCTGAAGACTACTGCTAGTGCTAAGCTACTCCTGCAACGCTCCTCCAGAGTGCTGCGGCCGAATCCTGAAGACTGCCTCCTGCCTTCTGTCCAACTACCTCCCAGTGAAGTGCATGGGAACTCCCTATGTACTACTCGGCCTACCTCCTAACTGCCTGCAACTGTAGGGCGAGGCAGTCCAGGAGGCTGCTCTTGCCAATGCCAGGGTGAACCAGGGGCTGGCGCTGCAACTCCTGCTGAGGCTGTCGTGGGGAACAAGCCAGAAATAGCCTGTTCTCACAACCCTGGTTTTGTGCCTGAGTGTTAGGGAAGGTCGATCTTATGAGGGCCCGAAAGTGGCCGTCCGTTTTAGGCTGAAAAGCCTCAGGGCTGAAAAACCCTGTTTTGGGCTGAAAACGAAATAGGGCCTGCAGGCCCTCGTTTTCAGTTTTCAGGCTGAAACGACATGGGGCCTGCAAGCCCTTATTTCTAGGCTTTTAGGCTGGGAATGCGGGACGGGCCCTGCAGGCCCATGTGGCTACGCAGTATGCCACACTCCGCCTGTCACTGCATTGCCATCCTCTAATGAGACGTATTGCCACATTGAGGGCATACTCGCACTAGGCCCTCAAAATTGCAAAATAGCAAAATGAGCGGCCAGATTGAGTTCCTGTGAAAGGAGGACTCTATCTGGCCACTCATTTTGCAATTCTGCCATTTTGAGGGCCTAGTGTGAGTATGCCCTGACACTACATGCTCCACGACGGTTGTGGACTGAGTTGACAGAGGGGTTGCAGAGGTGACAGTGGTGAGGTGCGGGTTGTGCGGGATTGTAATGTGTTCTCATTAGAGTGCATTGCCATCGTGGTGAGACACTTCGCCGCTGTGTTGAGAGAAGTGAGGGCATACTCACACGGGGACCAGAAGTCTCAAAAATTTGAGGCATTTGGTTCGGGTGTTTTGAGGCATTTGCTGCCTGTGTGGTCACACGGGTGGACTTTGTCCAGAAAGGAAGAAGTCACGACCCTGACACTTTGCACTCAGGGCAAGTGCGCCCGGTCACACGGGGAAGGACCAAACAAAAAGATGAAATTTGTATTTTTTTTTTTTCATGCCAGTACAACGTCAAGGTGGAGATCTACAACGAAGTGTTTAATGGTGCTTATCTGTCAACAAACATGCGTCATGGCGTCATATCTGTACTCTTCAAAAAGGGAGACCGCACATTTCGCACAAAAATGCGCAACTGGAGACCGATTGCAGTTTTGAATGTGTCGTATAAACTACTGGCTAAGATAATGGCTAGAAGACTAGAAAAATATCTTTCATCACTAGTCCAACCCGACCAAGCTGCAGTTGTGCAGGACAGATCGATATTCGATAATATTGTTACTGCCATTGAATCCCTTGAGATTATACATAATGATTCCTTAAACGTTGCAGTCCTTCTTTTGGACTTGGAAAAAGCATACGACCGGGTGAACTGGTCGTATGTCCTTACGACGCTGAAAGTCATGGGCTTTGGGGAAATTTTCAATAAATGGATTGTCGCAATGTACACAGTATCCACCGCATCAGTTATGATCAATGGTCGGGTTTCAAAACTATTCCCGCTCACTCGTTCACTCCAGGGTTGCCCCTTGGCGCCACTACTGTTTGCAATACAGATGGAGGTACCGTTAAATAACATTCGTGCTCACGATCGGATAAAAGGATTGACAATAGGCCCCTCATGCTGCAAAGTTAAGGCTTTAGCAGATGACTTATTTGCAATCACAGAGAATACCCAGGACTCTATGGGGGCACTAAAAACAGCGCTAGACGAATATTCCACCCTATTAGAGGCATCTTTGAATTGGCATAAGTCAGCCTACCTCCTACCATCTGTATTTACACTCACCTGCGAATGGGGAATGAAACGAATTGCGAACGATCAATCGGAGCGCTTCCTTGGAGTGCAGATAGCGCTGTTGTCCTGTGAAGGCGACCAGGATCACCTGTTATTGCAGAAAGTCATGCACTAGATGGTGACGTGGGGCAAAGCCCCCCACCTCTCACTATTTGGGAGGGCCTTAGTGGTGAATGGGGCATTATTCGCCCTTCTCTGGTTCGTGGGCACTGTTAGAGCCCTGGGCAAACAGTTGTACTCACTTACCAAAAGGAGAGCTGCGAAATTCATTTGGAAACCGTATGCCAAGGACGAAGAGTCATTTCTCTCTAAGGTAGCATGGGAAATGTTGTGTACCCCCAGATCACAAGGAGGACTTGGAATCTTAGATACGAAGAAGTAGAATGAGGCTATGCTCATTAAATGGCTGATCAGAACCATCACTGAATCTGCCACTCCACATTGGGTAGCTATGGCCGAACATATCCTATCTCAAGAATGGAACCTAGCAAGACCTCAGGATGTTTGGACCTGTCTGATGATGTTTTCGTATCAACGTCGACAGATAAAATCTTCATTTCGGAAAGCTATCATCCGAGCATGGAAAAATCTCCGCCCTGACGTCTGGGTTGAACCAACAAGTAGGACTGAGATCCTCAGTCAGCCACTGTTCGAAAACCCGTTCATAAGAGACAAAGAAGGGGAATGGATAAAGGCAGACAGGTCGAGCTTCGGTCACACCTGGATTGAGAAAGGCATCTTGAGAATAAAGGATATCTGGGACCCCTGCTTGGCACATGGATTTCAGACAGAGATCTTAGAGTTATTCTAGGACAAGTGAGAAATCTGCAGGACAAGAAAGAACTACTGATAGCAGTTATCCCGCGACACTGGAGAGACCAACTGACCCCAGAGGCAACAGACCCACTGGGGATATGGTATGTTAGCAACCAAGATGACCAATCCGAACTCTGGAAGTTACTAGAATATCAACCGGACGGAAAAAGAGTCTTTCAAGGCTGACAAATCACTGCTTGCCCAGCTATGACACAAATGGATGACAATGAACACCCGACAGTTGGCTCCCGATTTACTCAGGTCCG